CCGTGCTGGGACCCCCCGCGGGACACACACACGCACACGCATGCATACACACACGCACATGCATGCACATATATACACACACGCACACATACACACGCATATGCATACACACACATGCGCACTGTATACACACATACACGCAGATGTATGCATACATGCACATTTATACACACATACAAACGCACATGTATGCACACATGCACATGTATACATGCACATGCACATGTAAAGACGCACACACACATGTATACACACATGCACATACACGCACACGCTGGTATCCGTGCTCGTTTGCATAATCAGTGACTTACACAGGCATCAGCCCAAGCAATCGGGAACATTTGCATGTGCACCCCCCCACACACACACATACACACACACACATACACATATATAGGCATGTACACACACCCTCCCCCCAATCCAAGCAATTGGGCGGCATTTGCAAGGCCTTGATTATGCCCTGGGCTGTGCAGGATGTGACTTTGCAGCTTCCCCCAACTCCCCTGCCTGTGCCCGGGGATGGCTGGACCCTCCCTGCTGGGCTCACATCCTGGGGCCCCTCGGTAGCGGCTGGGGGAGCGCAGTGGAGCTGCTCCCTGAGCTGCCCCATCTCTGAAAGCTGCCGGGCAGAGTGAAGCCTCCTTATTTCTGCACCCCTCCAGCTTGCAGCTGTGCCCTGGTGCTCACTGTGTGCCGGATGCTCCCAAAGGAGAGGAAGGGCAAGGGCAGAGCCGAATCAGGAGACCTGGCGAACATCCCTCCACGTGTCACCTCCACTGGCAGGAGCTCCGGCACAGAGACACCGAGTCCACGTCCGGGCTGAAGCCAACAGGCAAGGCAGCAGAAGGCAAGAGGAATATTGGATTGTGTTACAAGAAATCATCCACTGCCAATGTCACCATCAGCCCCAATCTGCTGCTTTCTCAGAGGGGTCATGTCTAGCGGGGGGAGGGTGAGAAGGGGGTTGAAGGACAGGGCTCCATCTCGCAGCCCAGGGAGAGTCTTCCAAGGGAAGGGGAAGTGTGGACAGGGCTCCAGCCAGCTCCATGACCTGGGCAACCTGCCCCAATCTCTTACTGACCCGCAGTAAAAGCCTTTGTACCTCTGCCTTTCCCCATCATTGTGTCTGGTCTGGTTAGACTGTTCACTCCCGGGGGTAGGAGCCGCGTCACCGCACAAGCCTCCAATCTCGGTGAGGGAGGTACCCTGATACTACCGCTCCTAATAAAAAACAAGGTTACTGCACTGGCAAAGAAAAAACAGCCCCCTCCCCCCCCGCTTCCTGGCCTGTTTTTCAATCTACCAAAGAACCTGCCTCTAAATCTTAGTCAGCAGCGATGTAGGCGGCACTCTGAGGACAGAGCTCTCACGCTCGCTCATCACTGTTCGGATGCAGGAAGGACGGGAGATGGGTTGGCAGAGTGGGCCGGGCCAGGCTGTAGCTGGGTACAGAGAGGCCTGGAGAGCAGGGAAGCAGCATCTGTTTAATGCCTCTGTTGCTATTTACCAAGAAACGGCAATAGTTGCAGCAGTGCCGTTACACAGGCTGCTTGCTGAGGGTTTTGCAACGCTCCCTCCTTAGGCTCATGGAAAGACAGCTCTGATACTGCAAAATGATAAAGGTGCAGGCAAGCGTATTCAATCAGCACTTCCTCCGGCCACTCTCCACCTGCCATTAAACCTCACACCGCACCTGCCAATCCAATGCGGTCAGTATTAGCACCTTTCTGCTACCTGTCCAGGATCTAATCATTGAGTGTCAGCAAGCAGCCAAGGACAGGACCCCATGTGCTCTCTGCTGTCTGTGCAGGTGCTCATGTGGGGCCTGGCCCCACAGCATTTGGTCAGAGGGAGACAATGAGGCTGGACAACACTACGTTGGAAACTGGGCTGAGAATCCTTGGCCCAGAGCATTACCTGGGGCAGCTGCAGAGATTTGAATCCAAAGCGCTAAGCCCAGCAGGCAGCTCGCCTCTGGGGTTCATGTCAGGCCTCATGTGATGCCCTGATGCAGAGGCAGCAGTTGCCCTGGGAACAAAGCAGCACTTTAAAAAAAAAAAAAAAAAATCACTGTGAAAGGCAGCCCGTGCTGTGTGGGTAGCAGGGTTCACTACAGAACAAGGCTCCTGGAAACCGCCAACAGATGCTGAGTGGCTGCTCTAGCGTTCCTCCCAAAATAACATGTCTCTATTACAGGAGCGAGCTTCCCGGCCAGGCTGAACATGCGAATACAGGCTGGTGCATAAAGCTCTTACGCATCATTTGGTTTTTCCTGTGGTTCCCTATTACAGGGAGGGGAAACCTGAGACAAAAAAGCAGCAATCCCTGCCCAGGTGGCCCAAGGCAGCAGGAAGGGGCAGGTGCACAGGCCAGCAGATTTGCTCTGGGTCGCATCTCGGCAGGAACCCGATCAGCTGTCTTGGGAAGGCTGAAAGAACGGACGTGCACAGGGCCATAGAGATATAGATATATTTGTGGCGGTGTTGCATATTTCAGACAACGTTACACAATGCTCCTGACACAGCTTTCGGGACCACCTCTTTGGAGCAGGTTTCTTATCCTGCAGAGATCCTCCCACTCATGTCCTATCTCCCGGTTCCTTGAGGACACGCAGCACAGTTTGGAACAAGTCCCTCTCCAGTCAAAGCAACATCATCCCACAGGCCCAGCTAAGGAGGAGGGGAACAGGGCACAGGTACAAGTCTGGCCTGTCCCCTCACTGCGGCCAAAAGGGAACTGAGGCCTCCCACTACTGTGGGTCCACTAGCTAAGGGAAGAACTGCTCCAACATCGTGTCCCCGTCAGCATGACTGCCCCCATCTGAAATCAGCAATGGGAGAGGATGATCTTAATGCCACACGTAAACCCAAATCAGCCCCTCTGATCCAGGGGAGCCACTGACCTTAGAGAAGTGCAAGTACTCCCTCACTCTGGGGCGAGTGAGCCACCCGCCCTTATCAGGCCATGTGAGTTTGAACCTGAACTTCAGACCCATTCCCACTGGGCAGTCTCCCCCTCCCCAGGTGCTCTGAGTGGCAATACTGTGACCTGGTCAGTCTGCCCATGCCCTTTGCAGTTCAATATGGTGTGTGCAGGGTCACCCCTGGGACTGTATACATGGGTCACTGCCCCCACCAGTCAAGTGGAAGAAGCCAGGCTGGAGGGTCCACATGCCAAGGTCAGCCTAGGGTTAGAGGCTGAGTGGAAAGTTTCAAATGGCGACAAATCACATGAAACAGGGACTCTGAAAACAATGCAACCATGTCAGGAAGATTCTCCAAGCACCAGGTCCCACCTCCAGCACCGCGGAGGATGGAGGCGGCGTTTCCTCACCAGGCCACTCAGAAGACCCCCATCACCGGGGCACATGGACATGGTCTGAGGCCCTTCCCTGCTCCAGCAGGAACCCTGAAAGGGCAAGGGAGGCTGCACAGACCTCACTTGACCCCAGGCCACTCACTGTGGAAGCCACATGGGGCAACAGTGCTAGTCCTGGGAACCCAGAAGGGAACAGGTTCCCAGACCAAGGTCTGGGCTAATGGACATAGCACTGAGCACTGCCCAACCAGAGAGGGCTGCATCAGAGGTATGCGTCGCTGACTGAGCAGCAGCCAGGGCTGGGCCTTGTGGGTGGGACAATTATACCCCAGTGCCTGGCTCCTGCAGCCTCTGCATTCAAGCAGGCATAAGAGGGGACTGTTGAGTCAAGGGGGCCCTCTCAGCCTTTGGACACTACAGCAGCAACCTGGGGCTGTCCATCCCTGTCCTCAGGCCCAGCCTCCTATGAGAAACACTAGCAGGCAGGAGCATTTGGCACAGTTGGCCACCCCACACCGGGGAGCCTTGGCACTCACTTGGCTGCTCCAGAGACTGGATTCCAACCCCTGCCCACCTCGCTTTGCCAGGGGATAGTAAGAGCACCTCCCAGCAGCCACCGCAAGGAGAAACCCAATTGACCCTCTTCTCTACAGGACCCCGACGAGAGCAAGAAGTGTTCCAGTGTACAGGGAGGTGGAGACCCAAGGAGTCCCCGCCGGTCACAGGGCCCTTTGTCTCTATTGCACTTGGCTTCTTATATATTTATAGAGATATTTATAAAAATACAAACTAAGGGGTGGGGGAGGGGATGAGATGCAGGCATCGAGCCAGCAGCCACTTCGAGGACATGGACAAAGTCACACAGCCCAGTTATGGCCCCACACAGCTCCATCCCCAGAGCCCTCTGCCAGCCATCATTCAGGAATGTGGAAATCAGTAGCAGGAGTCCTGATCCTGTAGAGATCCAGCAGGGTGAAGGGAGTGGGGGGAAGGGGTGTTGGGGTCACCCAGAACCAACAGGCCTGCTAGTCCACCCCCACCTTCCCTCAGTTACCCTTCCCCACCCCAAACCTGAGTCTCAACTGCATGGAGTAATAAATACAGAGCTCCTTCGTGTGCCCCAGTGATGGGCACTCCCTTGCTCCTGGGAGAGGTAGGTGGGACTCTGTCTTAGCTCCTCTCCCAAAATACAATGGGAAAGTTCTTCTTCCACCTGGAGGTTCCTCTCTCGTTTCCCTGGGCAGATAAGGTGCAATTTTGCAGGATGAATCAGCCAAGAGAATCCCCCCCAGGCCATGTGGCTTCTCCCCACTTCTGCCATGGGGGATGCTCCTTGCTCCAAATGACCAGGCCCCAAGGCCACCCCTGCTACCTCAGCCGCCCGTCAGGTTTGACAGGCCCCAGTTCCGACTTGGGGTCCGGGGAGAGCGAACTCCAGGAGGTTTTGCTGCAGATCTCCAGGGAGGAGCAGCCGGAGGGGCTGCTCACACATATGTCGGCCACTGACCAGAAGCTGCTGATGCCGCTGTCCGTCCAGGCCTCCAGCGCCTTGCCCGTCAGCTGTGTGTTCCTGAGGGCTTCCTTCTCCACCTCGTCTGAGCGCGGCAGGTTCAAAATCCCGCCCAGGCCCTGGAAGCTCTGTTCCATGTACTCATTGCGGGGAGGACCAGCGTGTAACCAGCTGCTGTCATCTGGACCAGACACAGAGGGAAGAGAAGGTCAGCAGGCAGGTGGGTGAAGTCCACACACCCTCCTCCCAGCACAGCCCTTCCACAAGGCAAACAGGGTCTTGCTATCCTGTCCCATGGCCACAGGAGGCAGGAGACTGCCCCAACCTGACAGGAAGAGGTCATAGAAGGAACCCCTGCAAAGGAGGAGACTGGATAGGCCAGGTTCATAAGAAGGTAAGTGCCACACTGGGTCAGACCAATGGTCCATCTAGCCCAGCAGTCTGTCTCTGACAGCGGCAGAAGTGAATCCTACATAGGGAGAGCACTGAACCCGATATCTCTATTCAATACTCACCCCTACCATCCACTGGAGGAAACATCTCCAAACAGTCTGTCTGATGGCCATTAACAGATTTATCATCATCAACTTATCCACTCCCTTTCTGAACCTGGCTATGCTATCTGCCTCCACCACCTCCTGTGGCAGTGAATCCCCCAAGTTAACTGCATGGCCCAGAGCACGGCATGCTGGGACCCACTGCCTCCCAGAAGATGTTTCCTGATCACTATACAAGGAAGCTAAGGGACACATGGCCAACACTGGCCTTGACTGGCTGGTGCCATCTGTGGAGAGCCAGGCTGTCAAACACTGTTTGGATAGAAAGCTTCTCAACTAGATCCACTTTGCAAGCGTCATCTTAGCACAGAGCTGCACTATAAACGTGCCCAGCTCTGGCTCTTCCCATTCACACTAGCAGAGCGTTTGGCTCTAAGTCCCCTACTGTCAGGTGATGGTGCAGGGCTTTGCCTCAAGGTTGCTAGTTCAGACCCATATCACTGCTGTGGGGTGGCCTGTGTGAAGCAGGCTGGATGGCTTGAATGGCCAAGGAAGAGTCCCAAGCACAGCTGGTCCTGCTTTGTCACTGTCCAGCAGGGACCAATGACTCTGGGTTGTGAGCTCCACTGGGGAGACAGCCCAGCTGAAATGGGGGAGGGCTGGAGGGGGGAACGGGGCACGTCTGGCACCCGGAGGCCTCCCTCACCCTTCCTGAGAGGCTGCTTGCGGTTGAAGGTCTGCGGCACCACCAGGAACTGGTTCTCTCCCAGGGGCTCCCAGAACTGGAGGAGGCGAATGGTCCAGACGCCAGGGCGCAAAGGTCGATTGAGAGGCGGTTTGTACTGCGTGAACTCAGCCTCAGCATCCACCGTAATGTCGTAGGACGTGGCAATGATGTAGGTGGGGTCAATCCAGACCACGGTGGCGGTGAGGTTGGGCCCCCGCGACCATTTCTGCATGGCCACTGGCTCGTCAAAAGGCCCGATCAGGCCCCCGAAGTTCCGAAAGATCCTTTCCTTCGGGTCCCATTCTGTGCCCACCTGCCAGGGGAGGAAGAAGTCAGGAGGAGGCTGGGGCACACCAGGCCACAGCCCACCTGGGGCTGCGGAGGCACCAACCACCACCCTCTTTACAGCATCCCGAGGACATTTCACCAGGCCTGGCAGCCAAGGGCTGCATTGTGGCCTTCAGTAGGTTATGAACAGATGAAGCCGAAATAGATTCTGGATTCAAAGGACCAAGCTTGGACCACTTGCACCTGCCCCACTGAGTAGGGGCACGCAGCCTCAGCCACTTCTGGCCTCGGGCACTCCTGAGGGCAAATGGCCCAAGCGTGGAACACCACATCCAGATTCTCCCACAGTCTCTGTGGACAGCCCCCCCAGTCCCATCTTCCAGAGCTTGGGAGGGAGGGCTGGAGTAGTCAAGGAAGCGAGAGGCATGAACTCAGCTGGGGAGGGCACTGGGAACCTACCTCCAGGTTCTGTAACCGGTTAGATTGTCCTCCGTGACCCGCCAGCTTCAGAGCCCCCCGTGGCATCATCCACATCTCCAGGGACTCTGCCTGACCCGTCACAGAGTTCTGCACCTCCTGCATTACCAGGTAACCCTGGAAACGGTCGTCATAGAAATACAGGTGCACACTGGATGGGAAGCCCTGCGGCTGAAATCTAGAGAGAGAGAGAGAGAGAGAGAGAGAGAGAGAGGGAGAGAAAGGGATGATTTATGTCCCTACAGTGCTGGGATCTGGGCTGATTCCTCTGAGCCCAGATCAAGAGCCTGAGGCCTTCCTACCTGCAGAGTTTCTCTGTCTTCTGCATCTGAGAGGATGTCACTTTCTGCAGCCCCAGCCTGGAGAAGGATGTGTAGAAGGTCAAGGTGACATCAGTGAGCCCGCTCAGGCCATCCACCCGCTCGTAGACATTCTCCCAGTAGGCCTTGAGGGCTGGCGTGTTGGGCGGGTAGTTACCATAGAGATGTGTGTCCAGGATCTCCAGCACTTCCTGGTTCACCGTCGACTCAAACTTCCTGGCAAAGAACGTAGGTCTGGACAGTTGCTGAAAAGACATGGACATTTCTGAAAGGGTCGGCAACACGTCACCTGCTGGGGCAGGAGAGCCAAGAACAGGCAAGTGGCAGGAAAGCTGACTTGTCTGTCTTCGCTGTGAGGAAGGCAAAGAGCCTGGCAGGAAGCAAATGAGACTCCAAAGAAACAATCCATCAATGTTCTTCCTAACACACAGACAGCAGGTTGGCTTCCAAGGACACGTGAGCAGCAGCAGCATGTCCACTGAGACACCGCACTGGGCCCTACGGCCTGTGAGGATGTCTCTGCTCTCACAGAGCCCCAACAAGGCCAGCAGGGCACTGGCTGGCTGGCCCTGCTCACAGGGTCCTTTGGGGACCTCAGGGGGTCAGTGCAAGTTGGCAGAGATGATTAACCATGCGCATGTCTTCGGCTCCTGCTCACTAGGCAGCTGTCTGTCAGGGGAGTTCAGCACCACAATATTTAAGAGGGTTTCTCCTGAGAGAAGATGTGGGTTTGCTAAACCAAAGCCTATAGCAAGGGGAAGCCAAGCTGCTTATTGAGCATTGGATTTGTACAGCGGAGAGGGGAATGGAAGTGTCTGTAAGGTATGTGACCACAGCTCATGCAGACACCCCCGAGCTGGCATTAGGCTGGTTGGCTTGGGCACTGCCAGCACAGCTCAGCATGGACCGCAAGCCTAAGCATCTGCCTAGCTTCTAGGCAGGTTTTGCAGCCTGCTGTGAGCTCCAGGGTGCTGAGGTTACAAGGCTATTAGTACCCAAGCTGGCACGGCCAGGTCTACGCTCTGAAGTATCTTGACACTAGCCTAGGAGTGGGGACAATGAGAAGGGCAGATCGAGGAGCTGGAGGGAAGAGAGGCAGGAGCAAGGTTTTCACCTGTAGCCGCAAGAAATCCTGGGGCTTGAAGTCATTTGGGGAGCAGCCGCACCAGTCCACGATGTGCTTGTACTGGCACTTGCAGCCCAGCTTGCGGTTCCAGTTGGTCACCCGCAGGTTGTTGTCAACCAGAGTCTCACAGGCGTGGCTGTTCTCCAGAACGGTGTGAAAGAAAGACTGTGAATGGACACAAAAGAGATCACTTGCAGCTCGACTCCTGGCTACAAAGCCAGCCCCAAGACACCTCCCCCCAGGCCAGGACCCTCTCCTCGACTGACCTCGGCTGGCAGCAACGTGTAGGTGTAGAACTGGCGCAGCTGGGACACCAGCTGGTCCTCCGTGCGCACCACGTACTCCACGAAATTCCGGGTCAGTGAGAACCAGTCCGAGCCGCCATCCACAACGATGCCCTCGGGGATCTGCCGCTCACCCAGGCGCCACATGTGGGAGTTGCACTCGTGGAAGAGGCGGTCCAGGCCCTGCTTCTTAATGAACCTTGTGGGAGAGGAGGGGAGAGGATGGGCTGGGTAAAGAACGCACTCTCCCTGGACAGCTCCTTACACCCACTGTGAGGAGTCTGCCCAGCACCAGGAGAGCACTTCCCTCTCTGCAGTGAGAGAAGGGCACTGGAGTGCCCCCAGCCCTCAAGTGTGGTAATGATGGATCATTAGCACAACGGAGGACGTGGCCCATCATCAACACTGCTGTATTACAAGCATGTGACGGTGTAGGGCTGGAGTGCCATAAGCTTTCAACGGCTTGAGACAACAGCCCTAACCCTCATTTTCCTCTGAGCTGACCCCACTGCTCCCTGCACCTCACGTCTATCCCTGAGGCCAGTGCTAGCCCCTTGGGGGAGGTGAGCAGCTGTTACCTGGCATTATCTCGGCCATGGGACTTGAGGAAGTTCTTGTCCCGGTACTTGGACAGAAACGTCACCAGCTCCTCGTTGGTCCTGCAAATAGGAAAGAGTTAACAGCACTGGCACAGGAGCTGGAGCCGAGGTGGCCCACAAAGTGCTTATTGAGCATGGCTGAATTTGAAAGAGCCACTGGACAAAGGTCTACAGACGTTTGATAAGCACAGGCTCAAATCCTTATCCCATGGCCAGCACGATGCAAATCTGACCTCCCTGCTGTTCAAAGTCTATTTGGGACAAGGAGAAAGTGATGTATTTGTGCATGTGCGGAGGCATACACACGTCTGTACTCATGCGTGCATGTCTGTGCATTACCCACTACAGTGCCCAGAGGGTCAGGGATGTATAGCAGGATAAAGGCCTTCCAGCCTATAGACTCCTGGTGCAAGTACCAGCAAGCAGTCTAGTGGGCACGGCCCTCCTTGCTAGGGAATGCAGGTGCCACTGCCAACTGTGCTTGTCCCTTTACCCTCTCCTCCCTTCCATCTCTTCCCCCTTTCCACAGAGGTGCTCTCCAGCATCTCCCAGACAGGCAACCATGCCGGGTGCCAGAACATCAACCTTCTGAAGTGGCCAAGGTCCACAGCTGCAAACGGCTCTTCCCCTCCCACCCACTCCCCTGAACTGGCTGACCTGGTTGGGTAGTCAGTGGCGCTCAGGTTGATGAAGAAGTCCCAGGGCCACTCAGTCAGCTCCAGCAGATCCTTCATGCTGCGCAGGTACATCTTCAGCAGGCTGGCACCGCCCCAGATGGTCACCATGCGCCAGGGTGTGACCCGGATGTTGGGGTAGTGCTGGGCCAGCTCCACAGCCTCACGGTGCAGGTAGTTAGAGCGCTACAAAAGAGAGACTCCAGGTCAGGCAGGGTTGGGCCTCCCAGGGCACTGGCTTCCAGCCCCAGGAAGTCCTAGCAACACCATAACAGAGGAGAAGACCCCAAGAATTAGGCCGAGCTTAATCTGGGAGGGGCCAAGCATCCTGATGAGCACTTGCTGATGAGTTGCAGGTGCTTAGTGCTTCCAAGAACTGCAGTGTCTGCTACCTGAGCCCATTCCCACAGGGACTGCCACTGCCCCATGGGGAAACCAGGGCTCACAGGGACTGGGCAACCTGCACAAGGCCACACAGCAAAGCCAGGGGAAGAGACAGGAGAACCCAGGATCCCAGCCCTGAGACCAGTCAGTCTGGCTGGTCCTCAGGCTTTCCTGCCCACTTCAGTGCCTAGTCTCTGCGCTGGACCCTGATGAAACACTGACCTGGCTGCCTTCCACTCATACACACAAGCTCCAGTCCACTGGGACACTGGAGACAGCACCAGACCTTAGCCCATCACCACCAGGAGGTGCAGGGCTTGGAGAAATCAAAGCTGAGAACAGGCACGCCTGAATGGGAGGCTGACGGGGCAGAGCAGGGTGGACAGCCTGCTCTGGCAGCCCAAAAAAGACAGGAACAACTGCCAAGGCAGCCTGCCCATGCCCCCTTGGCCGCTGCCACAGCACCCTGCGCTTCCCACTGGCTGGGCTGATGCCCCTGTGCCAGGGTAGCAATGAAACGCAACGGAGCCAAATCTGCACGACAGCCATATGGCGACTACGGACTCCTCTCAGCCGTGCTGCTGGCAGAGAGCGGCAGGCTGGGACACTGCAGCTGCCTGGGGCCAGCATCCAGCCTCCCAGCACTGGCAGGTCTCATACCCACTCTGCACACTAGGAGCTGATCCACTTGGCTCCTGGTACTTTGAACTACAGGGCAGGGTACTGCTTTATCTCCAGTCAAGCCTTTTGCATGGCAACTCGACTCTGTCAAGTGCCTAGGAGACAGAAAACCAGGAGAAGGTTTGAGTGTCAATGTCCCCTCTGGGGAGAGGGGTGAGCCCATCCCTTGTCCAGCTGGACTCAAAGAAATGAGATGGTTGGCCATTCACAAGGGAGGGATCGTTGGTGAGAAAGGCCCAGGGACCAGCTCTCTGCTCTGAGGAGGGCAGCATGAAATTTTCTGGGTGCGAGTTGAGGCCCCTGGAAAGGGCGGGATGTAGGCAGGCAGACACAGGTGTCTGAGGGAACAGACAGGCAGGAGGGGGTGTATCACAGATCTCCCTGGTGGACAGGCCATCACTGGATGGACCCAGAATGTTTCTCCCAAATCCACCGTCCCTGGCAGCTATTGCCACCTCATGGGGAAGTTGTGGGAATGAACAGAGCGGTGCTTCCATGGCAAAATCTTTGCTCAGCTGCAATCTGGGCAAGGAGACAGAGAGCTCCAGTCTCGATGAACAAGCACATAGATCCCAGCAGAGGATCCAACCGGTACAATTGCTTCTTCCCTCCCTCAGATGTGGCCTCCTGCCATGTCCCTGCAACCATGATCCCCGCAGTCTTTTCCTTCTGCTGCAGTGTGACTCCCACCCCGACTGCCTCCCATCGCCTACCTTGTCGACGTGGATGTAGAAGAAGTGCTGCTGGTGATACACGGCCTTGATGAGCCGCTTCAGCTGGCGGATGGCCCTGCCGTGAACCACCAGCATGTATGCAATGCGCACCGGCTTCTTCACAGGGGTCTGCTGCATTCTGCTCTCGTCCCACTGGATCACAGGGCTGACTTTCCCTGTGGGGGACAGAGGGGTCACACACTGAGCCAACAGCTAGGCAACAGCCAGAGAGAGGAAAGCAGCCAGTTCCCTTGGGTAAGAGGTTTCCAGGAAGACTGAGAGATCTCTTACTGCCCCAGCCCTGCCAGTCCAGTGTTCTCAATGAACCAGGAGAGCCCAACCAGGGCTTCATGCTGCACGTCTGTAGGATGTGAAGCACCCTGCGATCACCCCCTTCTAGAAAATGGGCTGTATCAACCGTCTCCTGTTCCAGCGTTGACAGGGGGCTCCGAGCGGACAGAGCACAGCCTGCTAGAACGGGGGCTGCTCTATGTTAGCTGGGAGCAAGGTGCTCCCTACTGCCCATGAAGATACATAACTGTGGGCTGCATTTGTGATTTCCCTTTGCAATTGCACAGCAGTCTGACTCCATAGAGACAAACCAACCTTGTTCAGAGGCCAGAGCCTTAAGTTAAGAGGCTAGAATGGATTACCCTGGATGACCTGCACCCCCTTGATCACACATTAAAGTTGATGCGATTTGCTCTCCCTTACTCTGGACTAGGACTAGACCAGAGGGTGGGGGGCACTGGTAAGGATCTCTCTCAGAGCTCTGCTCGCAGTCTGGGGCAAATCTCACCTGAGAGCTGGCAGTGCCGGGGCACGGAGCGTGGCATCAGGTTCCCAGCCTGGTGCAGGCACACCACATTGGCAATCTCCTGCTGGCACTGCTTGGTGCTGGCTCTCGCCAGTGCCGAGAGGGCATCCTTGCCTGTGATCTCACACTTCGGGGTGAAGCTGTTCTCGGTGGGCTGAGGGGCCCCCTCTACACTGCCTGTGTCACCGTGCTGGAAGATGGCCAGCTGGGCGTCCCCACGCAGCACCGTCAGGTTCCTCCGGCTCGATGAGTCCAGCATGACAGGGAGCCTCCGTCCAGGCTTGTGTTTCACTGTGACGGCTCTCACCACCTTGGTCACCAGCACCCCAGGACCCTCCGGACGGCCTTTCCATCGCCCGTGCTTGCGGCTAGCACTCCCACGACGCCCAGCTGAGCTGTCCGAGTCTCGGGAGCCCTCGCTGTTCTCAGGTAGCCGTGCCTTCTTTTGCCGCCCCTTCTCCACATTGGATTGGACACAAAGGAAAGGGTTAACTTCTCAGATGCGTCACCAAGTTGCTCAAGGAGTACCATGATCAACAGTGATCAACCTGCTCCACCGTACCCTACACACACTGACCCAACATCATACATTCCTACTAAATACATGGGAAACTGAGGCACAACCCCCATGATCTTGATCTCCCTTTTATGCTGCACCATTTATACAGAGCAAAACAACGGCACTGACTGCTCTGAGGCCGCATAAGAAGCCCATGACTGAACTGGGGAAAGAAGCCAGAAAACCCCCAAACCAGTCTCTTGCTCAATATACCAGTGTTAGCAGCATCTGTGCAGTGCAGTAAGTGACTGGAGAGACAACAATGTACACCCCTCAGCTTTGTTTTTAGACTCATAGATTCATAGACATTACGGGCTGGAAGGGACCTCGCAAGATCATCGAGTCCAGCCCCCTGCCACAGGCAGGAAGTCAGCTGGGGTCAAATGATCCCAGCAAGATAAACATCCAGACGCCTTATGAATGAGTCCAGAGTAGGCGCTTGCACCACCTCTGGGGGGAGTCTGTTCCGGACCCTGGACAACAGACTGTAACGAAGTTTTTTCTTATGTCCAGTCTAATCGGCCTTCCAGGAGTTTGCGGCTGTTAGACCTTGTTATCCTGTGGGGAGCCCTGGTGAACAACTGTTCTCCCAAGTCCTGATGCACCCTGCTTATATACTTTCAATGTGCTGAATTTGTAGAGCGGGGACGTTTCCCCTGTCCCTAGCACACGTTGGCATGCTCGTTTTGTATCTGCACACACACACCCATCACCACGCATCAAGAGTCTTATCCGAGTGCAGGGCCCCATTGTGCTATGCGCTGTACATACACTTAGGAAGACCGCTGCTTCTCATACGGCAGTTTCTTCTTTAATCTGGCTGTAAAATGGGAATGAACATGCCCAAGTTCACACACAAGTCTGGGGCGGACCTGGGATTTCAGTGCCTTAACTACAACTGCACTCTTTTCCGCACACTAGTAATCGCTGATCCTTGCTGTTCTGTATTTCCTGTGTACTGTACAAGTACTGCATGTCCCCAAGCACCCAAGAACGGGAAGTAAGGCATTTGGGCATCGTGACGATAAACAGGCTAGTGTCTTTCCTTTCCAATACTGCCAACTGCTCTCTCTGCTGGCCTTGGGCATGCTGCTTTGCTTCAGTGCTGAAGGTCATACAGCACAGCCATGCTGCACTAACCTGCTTGCTCCCTTTTGCAGTTTGGACCCCCAGAAGCTGCTTTGGGAGCAGGGACAGACAGGGAGCTGGGACATCGTGCTGGCTCAAGCACCCCCACAGCATGCTCTGCCAAGGAGCCGGGGCCACAAGTAAAGGGAACCATTAATTATGCCTCATTATTTCTACCAGGCTGGCTCATTATTCAAGCAAGCTGGCATTGGAGAGGGGAGGGGAAGGAGCTTGGGTGGCATGGTCTGGTGAAAAGCAGGAGAAAAGGCGGCAGCAGGGTGGTGGAGCAGAGACCGGAGAAGTCTCCTTGCTTTCAGATATGGGATGCTCCTGAAGGTAGGACACCAGGACCAGTGGCCAGGCAAGCTGCTCTGGTAGGGCCCTCGACGTGTGGGAGCTACCTGCAGGCCTGAAAGTGCAGGGCTTAGGGTGGCAGCTGGGGCTATGTATGGGGCAAAGTGCAGGCTGGGGAAAGGCTCCAGCTGGTAGCACTCGGCACACCGAGGAAATGATGGAGCTGAAGCATTAAGAGCAAGAGAGACAAGGTGAGTCAGCAGCTTCCCCGGGCCCGCCAGCCCCGGCGAGTCAGGCAAGCCGAGACTGGAGCCACCGAACCTTCTTCCGCTGGCTGGAGCAGACAGCAGCTGCGGGCTGGTGCCGCCTGTGTGTATTTTGAAAATGGAAACAAACTTAATTTGTCCCTTTGATAGCATGGATGATGCTTTTTTAAAAATTCCAGCTGACATTTACAATGTGCCATAAATAGCAATAACTGAAGGAACTAAGTCTTTGCGTGTGTGTGTGTGTGTGTACACCTTGTTCTACTTCAAAATCATAATATTTTATCAGGTATGAAGATGAAGAGGAAAGTACATGTCAAAAAAAAACATTTTTTTTAATTCAAGGGGAGACTAAATGGGCCAGGACTTTTCCAACCGAGAGAGAACTGTACATGGACAAATTCATCCAAAACATGATGAATATATGGTTATATCAGTGGGTATCACATATGACAGTTACAGA